CAAGGAGCTCCTCCTTCTCCCTGGTTGTCAGGTTGGTGAGCCCAAGCCAGCGTGCCCTCTCCTGAAGAACCATGAGACCCATGGCCTTCCCCGTGGCTTGTATCGCCATTTTGTGGAGGTGGAGAGTGTGATCCGTTATGACGCAGATTTCTTCCCAGAGGGTGTTATCTGGTTTAGCGGACATACAGTATCTTCTTCCAACTCCGCCTGGTACGCCGTCAAAATGGAGGAGGTGTTCAGGGCTCTTGCGGACAGTGCAGCCACCTTGTGGCACTTGTTAGTGAGGCTGGACTGAAAACAGTCCATCTTGAATGGGAGGGATGCAGCGGTGGATGACAGTGATGTTTTCGGATGGAGGTGGCTAGTGACCAGCGGCTCCACAGGCGGCATCTGATGTAAGCCGTGAACTTCCATCCACTCACAATCCAGCAGAAAACTCCCCGAAATGGGGTGTTTTTTGTGTAGGGCTTGTCCCTCCATGTCACCGCAGTTTCCTCCAGGAGCTCCGGGAAAACAGGCAGCACATGTTTTCCGGTCTTCCTAGCTTCCGAGAGTTTACAACCTCAGTCTGAACAGCTGGCCATGGAATGTTTAGCCTCGCGGCTGCACGTTTGCACATGTCCTGCATATCCATGTCCAGGGGGCAATGCACCGTCGGTGTGCCGTAGTCTCCCGCCGCGGGATGCTTTGCAGCCTCGTAGCGGCTAAGGACAGTGAGGTCTTCCTTGTCCTCGTCCGACATCTTGAGCTCCGAGTCCTCCGATTCTGCCCCATCCTCATCCCCCTCTGCCTCCAGGAGTGTTTGAGAATTAGAGAGCTCATCGTACATTACATCAGCCTGAAGCAGTGGGAAAGTCGGGGGTAGCTGGGGATCTGAGTACACCCAGCTCAGGCCAGGTGTAGCGAGTGGCTCCACCTCGGTTACAGCTTGAGGTGTGGCCGGCCCGCACATGACCGGGTCTCCGCTGGACAAGCTGACCTGGCGGGCTAGCCTGCGGCGTAGCAGCTTGCGAGGAAAAGACACACAGTGGATACACTCCTGCGTGGAGGTTAAAGCTGCTTGGGCATGGGATGCGCCCAGGCAGGCTGCACACACGGGGTGAGTGTCCCAGGAGGAAATTTTTCTCATGGACAGAGTTTAGGTCCTTCCTCCACCGAATCGGTGTTAGCCGTGGTAGCCATGTTAGTAGTTTCCCAGCTATCCCTCACAAAGCTTGTGCAGGTAGTTGGTAAGAGCAGGGAGGATATATTGCTATTTGCTCACTGCTTTATAAGGTGTTGCCACCAGTAAAAGTATTACTACTCTGATTTAAGTATTGCTACTTGTTGGAAAGTGGGAGTATTGCTACTTTGCACCTGTGCTAGCTGAGGAAAGTGTTGCTACTTCACACTTAAGCTAGCAGGGATGAAAAGTATTGCTACTTAGCTAGTCGAGAAAGTATTGCTACTTCCCCGGACCAGCAGACAACTGTATGGCTGGGAACAAGTGTCCTGTGACCGAGTTTGCACCCGGTCGATGGACAGTTTAACTTCGCACCCAGTGGTACAGCTGTCAGCAGGCTTCTGTGAGAAGCAAGAAGAGGTTTTTGAATAATGACTGACGCTATGTCAGCCCCTTTTATAGAGGGAGGGTCTGGGCCCCTCCTAACATGACATTGTCACTTGTGCCAGCCAATCAGGGCTGGCGTAATGCAATTTAAGCTTCTTATGAGGTCACGCAGGAGGCATTCCCATAGTGAGACACGAAATGAATGCTATGAAAGAGAACTCATGATTTCAAAAAACTGCTTGAGGAAATGTACAAGATAAATCACATGACTTGAGACCTAACAAGTGTTAATGCACCCACGAATAACACAGACACAGACCACAACTTAAATACACGGAGGACTAAAGAGGGAAGAAGAAACACCTGGGGAGATGAGGCCAACAACAATCACATCTAACAGAACACATCAGAGACAGACAGGATGGAAACTCAAACAGAATCGCCACAAAAGCCAAACCAAAACCGAACCCAAAAAATCCCACTATGACAGCTTCACCTTATAAACGTCAAATCTTCATATCACTGAGGGGTTAGACTGATAAACAACATGTTAATAGCATACATCATGTTCTAAAGCTCATGAACAACTAGATACCGCATAGCAGTAACATAATGACCTCCGCACGCACAAATGCACCAGAACTCAGAGTCTTTATTCCTAATAAATGTCATGCTACTAGGTGCATCCTAGCCTGGTCAAAACCAGACCCTGTCCTTCACTTTGCTTCGTACAAGGGTCTGGACTTGATGCATAGAGAATTGATTTCTTGCAGGAGGCGTGGCCTCTGCTGAAGCATGTGTGTGTTGTGGGTGTGAAGGAGGCTAAGCTAAGAAGCTAATCGAAAATCGCATGTGCTGTAAACCAGTGATTCTTAACCTATGGCCGCGAGCGCCACCTTGAGGGCCTCAAAAGAACAACAGTTTTTAACTTTTGGCAGCATTGATTTTGAATAAGGTGCAATACACTTTCTCTCCACTAGTAGCAGTAGCGCGCCACTGAGATGTTTAACAACTTTTTTAATATGAAGAAGAAGAACCTTAGAAACCTGCCGAGAATGGAAACATCAGTTAGTAAATGACCAATAAATTTCTTCACTATTTTAAATGAAAAGTAGAAGGCAAAAATGAAGGTAACCCATCAAAAAAGGCCAAAGTTCGTCACTAATATGAAGTGCAGCTTCTGTTTTTACCATGCAATATTTTAAAAGGTCAAACCATACAGTTGCAGATACAGCTATATTTTAATTTGCACTTTAATTGTTGTAGTTTATTTTTAAACATTTTGAATGTATTTTAAAGAAAAATTTAACTTGTCAAAAAGCTGTTGTCACTGTTATTGTTTGTCACTAACATGAAAAGCTGCTTCTGGTTGCAAAATTTAAAAAGGTTATATTTTCATTTGAACTTTATCAAATTATTTTTTACATTTTTTTAATTGAAACATTAAACATTTTTAATTTAATTATTTTATGCCCACAATTTTATTTTTTGAATCGTCTATTTTTGTTATTGTTTATACTGTATGTATATATA